GACTAGATGAATGGCTGGATGGCTGTATCCCAAGGCCTGCTTCCTTAGAAGCTGAGAAAGATTTGTGGACCTGTATTGTGATCTGGATGATTCTTGGGCCTCCACCTCTCCATTCAAGGGCATATATGGTCTCAAAGTTCTATGTTGGGCTCTCCAAGCTGTGCCACAGTGCCTGAAGCTTGGATGGTTGAGGGGATTCTGGATCCTCAGTCCTTAGTTCCTATATAAGCTTCCTTCTCAGCCAGCAGGGGTGGTGAGTAGGAGCTGTGGGAGGGGATCAGGAAGGCTAGGTCCTGAGCTTACCTGTGCTGATTCCTACCCATGCAGTTCTTAGGATTTCTTAACATGCTTTCAGTGTGTGTGCCATGTACTAGGCCCTAGCCACTGGGGATATGAGCAGTGGTGGCACTAGGGATAGGAAGAGGTTTTATCCCATTAAGTATAGACATCAGCATCCCACCCCCAACTCACCTCAGGCTGATGGCATGACATGCTTTCAGTGTGTGTGCCATGTACTAGGCCCTAGCCACTGGGGATACGAGCAGTGGTGGCACTAGGGATAGGAAGAGGTTTTATCCCATTAAGTATAGACATCAGCATCCCACCCCCAACTCACCTCAGGCTGATGGCATGACAGCTTAATTTGTAGAAGGAAAAAACTAAGTAAAGGCTATAATTTACAGGCAAGATAATTGGCCAACTGTTAGGAAAGTGAAAAAAAAAAAACCCTAACATACAATCTATGTAAAAATAGTGTGCTTGCTATGCAAATTCAGCTTCAAGATGAATTCCCAGCTGCCAGAGGCCCATCACTCCATTCTAACCAGGCACCTGACCCCTAAGCTTCTCCCAAATAGACATTCTAGAAATGCCGAAGATATGTGGGGTGAGCAAAACAGACTTGCTGTCCTTTTTTTTGAGTTCATTCTTGCTGCTGGAAGGAGCATCAGGCAAAGGATCATGACCCAAGAGAATGGGTACCTGATAGAGAAGCAAACAGATAGTTGGAGCATAGAAAAGTCCTCTGACCCAGGCTGAAGACAGGCCATAGAGTAGATACCTCATAACAATTACTGAAGTGTCAGCCAAGTCATACCTGAAGCATGAGGTAGACTGAATGATGCTTGCCCAGGAGAGGGGAAAAAAAAATCAGATATTAGGAACAACAAGAACCCAGAATCTGTTGAGAGCTTGGCTAGTCTGGAAAATTGATGCTGAGATTCCTTTGACCTGGCTTGATTAGTCATCACTCTGGAATGATGATACTTCCTGCTGGAACTAGCCTTAGAGACCTTCTAGTTCCTGCTTTGTACCTCCTGGCTGCAGACTAGGGCTGACAGCTTTGCCTCTTCAACATGCCTCTTATTTATAGACTCCCCCTCCTGCCCCCAATATCTGAGGGACCTGGCTTGACAACCATGAACTTTGTAGAACATTGCATTGAAGGCTCCAGAGACTGGAGGCCCAATGAGGTTGGGGATTCTGGCTCTTAACCATCTAGGCTGAAATGTTCCTTCACTAAAGTTACCTTTGCCTATTACCCTCTTTCCTGTCTGGGGCGATAGTGGAGACATGAGTTCTGATAGCTCTGTTCTCATGTGGGGCACAGGATTCCTGAGCTGAGACCAGGCTGGCAGATCAGCTTTATGGGGCTAGGAGAGGTGGGGACAAGAAGGAAGATGGGCAGGAGGAGGCTAGGGGGCCTGGGATGAGAGAGTGGGTAAGGAGGCAGGCTTTCTGATATACCCCCTCCTCCATTCAGGAAGATACACGGGTCAGGGGGGCATGGAAGCTCAGTTTCTAATTAAGCCCAGCCCTGTTGTCTATTTGCTCCCCATTAGTGCCCCATAGCATCCCCAAGGCATTTTAAACTGCTACCCTGCTGAGGAGGCTGGGATGGCGGCCAGAGCCTGCCAAGCTTGATGTGCTTAGGCCCGTGAGGGGTAAAAAGCCAACTTAGACTTCTCTTCTTCTGGCGCAGTCTCCTGAGAAGCCCATCAGGGCCTACCTGCCTGCCATGTGTCAACCTCTGGGGCTCTGAGTGGAATCTAGGCTATCTTTCCCATTGCGCCTTGTCCCCAGCATCACTCTGAGCCTGAAGTGCCAGGCTAGAGAACAGGGAGGAGGATAGCTTCTGCAGCAGCCCCCAGACTCAGGAAATGTGCTGTAGAAGCCAGCACCAACTAAGGATCCAGCTCCAAGTGGCAATTAGCATTTTAGGTTAAGACAGCCCTCGTTTGTTAACCCTTGCAGTAGTAGGGATCCTGAAAGCCAGGTCCTTCCTTTTTGATCCCATACACCATCCTTAGGTCCCTGGCAGAATTAGCAGTCCCCCTTTTCCTTGAGAGTGTAGTAACACTCTCAAGAGATCTTAGAGAGCTAGAACCTCAGGTCCAAAGTCACATAGCCACAGAGGCAGCTTTCCATACCTGGAGACCTAATCCCACCCCAGTCTCAGCTGCTTCCACCTTCATAATCTCCCCAGGCCACATTCACACATGCAGAGATTAATTAACTTTATTGATATTCAGAAATTAAGAGAATGACTAAAGGTAATTGCTCATTAAAAATCATTAAACTGACACAGCAGGCCTGGGCAGACGCAGCCCTTGACGCACTGCCTTCTTCCCCCACTGTGGCAAGACCTCTCTGGCACCTCCTGTGGGTTGGGAGGACACCCCATGGTCTATAATGCTCCTCATGCTTGGAACCAATTATGCCCAAGAGGCTGCAGAAAGAAATAAGGACTTGAGCTTATGGGGTGGGGCACTCTCAGTCTCTTTCCTTGGCCTTGAGGGCCTTCGCTACCACAGGACTCTTGAAGGTTCTGGGCTGTGCCTGGCTGCATTCTGCAGCCTGAGTCCCCTTTACAAACAAAGCTCTGAGGACTATAAGGTGGCAGGACTGCAAGGTGTTGGGAATGTACTCCCTGGTTGAGGCTGTCCTTTTAAAGTCTCCAGGAACTCCAAATGGCCAAATGAGCTACCTCCAATGAGAGGGCTCAGAACTCTAACAACCAGAACCTTCCATTGATGTTAAAGAGGTAGGGGCTTCTGGGTCACCCACAACCCTGGATCCAGGCCCTCTCATCTGCCAGTCTTGGCACTGCTTCCAATCCTTTCCCTCTACCCCTAAAACCCATCAGAAAGATGATCCCACAAGCACTGGAGAATCTAACAAATTACAGAGGGACACTGACTGGTGGGGAGGGGCATAGACTTCTAGCCAAAGGGGGTAAATTCCTCCCAACATGAACCTCCATACCGCCAGTGGGGACTGGACTCAGTCACACCAGCTTTCCTCCTGGAGACCAGCAGTCTCTCTCCACCCTGCAGGGATCTGGCTTGCAGAGACTGCACCTGCACACTAGTGGCATCACTGCTGAGTTGTCACCCAACACTCAGAACTCCTGAAGTGTGGACACCCTGGGACCCACTACTCCAGACATACAGAATCCAGATTACATTCACACCTAAACCCACACACCCTCAGTCAAGGGCTACCATTGCATGCCAGGGATTAGACAGATATAGGTTGTGTGCCCCAGGGAAACCACCCAGAGCCAGGATGTGACCAGACCCCCTACAGGTCCTAAATGCAGAGACAGCCCTGGATTGCTGGCTGGCTCATGGAAGGGTTTCTCTTCACCCCTTCCTGTCCCTGGAGTGGGACTTGTGAGATTCTCCACCTCGTGGCCATGTGAAAACACAATTCCAAGTTTCCCCAGCCTTAGCAGGACCCAGTGTGGACATGCAGGTAGGCTGGGCAAAGATAGGGTCTGCTTGTGGGTAGGAGAATGAAAACAGCTGTGGTCTAGCGGCCCAGCCCAGCCCAGCCCTTGCCACACTGCCTTGACCTCCAACTCTCAGCCAGGAGGTTAGAAATTCTTCCTCTTCCCTCCTCCACATCAGATGCCAGGAACCAGAACCATATGGCGAGGGACCGCGAGTCCCAAATCCAAGTGCGGTTTCGAGGACCCCAGCAGCCCCGGTAGAAGCGGGAGACCGACCTGAGCAATCGTAGCTTCCTTGACGGCTTGTTTGAGCCAGGACCGCAAGTCCAGACTAGACTTGCATCCTTCCTGCTCCCCTGCTCCGGAACACAGAACCTTTCTTGAGAGCTCCCTTGTTGTCTACTCCAAGGCCAAGCTTCCTTGCCCGAGACCGATCAAGTTGGGGACTTGACTCCGCGCCCCGGGGCTGGGGCACAGGGTGAGTTCCGCCGACGAGTCTGCCGTCCTAGGTCGATGGGACTCAGCAGGAAGGCAGACCCAGAGGGAGGCAGAGCTCTGGGTATGTGCGTGTGTGTGTGTGTGGAAAGGATTTCGGGGAGGACAGAATATCCCAGGACCTCAGCTCTGGCAGCCCAGCGCAAATGCGAGGAGACGGATAGAGAGCCCCCGGGGTCCCCGAATGGCTCCCCAGAATTATGCTGTGGGTTCCAGTTCTGACATAGAAGTGCCAAGGCGGAGGTAATATTTGTCCCAACCCCGAGTCCGGCCACCATCCGACCTGGTTTCTCTGCACTGAGGATGCGGGGGGCCCCAGAACCCGCGGCAAAGTCGAGCGAAGTTTGGAGGGCGGCAGGGGAGGCGGAACCGCGGGCTGCCAACTGGATTGTCCCGACTCCTGGCCCCCAGCCACGCGCCCCGGCGCCCCTAGACGCCTGGAGTGGAGCGAGGTAGCGCGCGTGTGAGCGCGTGTGTGCGGGGAGGGGGTGGCGTGATGAATTGCAGCAGAGAAATCCCATTAGATCCGGGGAGATGATTAAAGGAGAGGTCTCGGCCGAGCGCCGATGGCGGGAGCAGCGGCAGCTTCCCGCCCGCGGGGCCCGTGGCCCGCCCGGCTCGGCGGGCGCCGGGGGGCAGCGCAGCCGGCGGGACGCGGGGCTTGGGCTGGACCACCGGACGCGCGGAGATGGGAGCCTGGACGGTCCTCCTTTCCTACCCCGGGGAGTCCGCGCCCGCCCGGGTCCTGTGGCCGGACGCCGGAGTCCCTTACCGTGAGCCAGGAGCTCCAGCAGCGAGGGCAGGAGCAGCAGGGCTGCTGGGCGCATGGTGCTGGCGGCGGCCGCGCCCGGGGCCGGGGCTGCGGCGGGAGGTCGGTGGACTCGGCGAGGCGTGGGCGTGGGGGCCACCGCGGGGTC